CCCCCGCCACCTGGGGCAGCCTCGCCCCGCCCCTGCCACCTGGGGAAGCCCCGCCCCGTTCCCGCCACCTGGAGGAGTCCCGCCTCCGCGGCCCCGTGAGCATAGGGTCGCCCGGAACCGTAGCCCCCCATTTCCTCCCTGCCTCGCGGCTCCTTAGTCGCCCCTTTCCACTTCCGGCGTGGGACTCCCCTCCCAGTCCCCGCACACCTCGCGCGCCCGCGGTTTCGGGCCTTCGGGGCAGCTGAGTCACTCGCGGCCGGAGAATTCCCGCGGTGACCTCACGGCGCCCGGGCTCAGCTCCGGGTGGTCCCAGGGTCCGCACCCCCGTCTCGGCCCCACCTCACTCCCTCGCGTCCAATCCGCCGCCGAGTTCCAAGCCACGCCCTGATCCGACCGGGCTCCCACCGCCCGGACCCCCTCCCAGTCTCGCTTCCCTAAAGCTGAGCTGCGGCGCGCGGCGACCTCCGAAGTCCCGCGGACCTCTTCGGCCTCGGCTGACCGTCCTAACGCACTCGTTTCTTGCAATCATGCCTCTGCGCCCCCTGCCCCCGGCGGCGCTGTCCCCTGCCCAATCCAGGCCTGTGGTGGCCCTGGGCTCCCACGGCCCAGAGCACACAGCCCCATTGTCTCGGTTATCTGCACTTTGTTCTATTTGTTTGATTAGGCAGGGCCGAGTGGGGACGCGGAGCTCCGGGAAGGCCGGAACGGTGTGACTCAGCCCGGTGCCCAGGTCCAGCCCAGACTGCCTGTAGTGCTCAAAGAAAGGGGGCCTCAGTTTCCCTGATAGGTAAAATGGGGCCAGAGGATGCTGCCCTCACCTGGCAAAGAAAGGCACTCAAGGGTATAAAGACACATTTTATTCAGAGGCTATCAGACCCCAGGCACCACCATACGGTATGTTTTGTCTGGGCTGTCCCTCTACCCCTCCAAGAGCTGGTCACTTGGGGTCAGCTAAGGAGGCAGGTGGAGGTGGGGAAGTGGGAAGTGGCCGCAACCAAAGTAGCAAAAGGCACCCCTGTTCCAGAGGTCTGAGACTAGGATGGATCCCAAGGATCTTGTGACCTTTATTGAAACTGAGTATTGACCCTGAGTGACCTCTGAACCTGAGTGGCCCTGATGTTTGGCAGCGACCTGTGTCTGGTGGGGGAATCCTGGTACATTGCCCCCAAAAGGGTTTTAGTCTTCCTCCAGGCGTGTAGTTTTTACTTATAGGAACTCTCCAGACCCCCTAACATTGAACTTCTAGGGAGAAATGTGTCCATCTTCTCAGTCCTGAGCTGCTTGGTTAGAATGCTGGGATGGTCAGAGATGGTCCTCAGCTTCCTCAGGTTGGGGGTCTGGGCAGCAGGTGGCCTTGGGCACAGCCTCACTGTGCAACTTGGAGAGTAGTCGGGCTGTTTCCTGGGTGATCTCAAAATGCTTGGGCAGCGGGGCGCGGCGCAGGGGGCTGCCCTCGGAGGAGACAACAGTAGGGCCGGGCCCCCTCCTCCGCAAGCTCCCTTGGAGCCCTTGTATGACAGGGGTCTCCTCACACAATTTGGAAGCAACCAGGGCCAAGCTGGACAGCTGGTGGGTGACAGGCCGCACACCCCCCCGGGAATACTTCACTGGCTGGCGACTGAAGTGGCCACGAGACTGTGTCCCCAGGAGTGAGTCCTCGGGGCCTTGGCTGGACACTGTGGGATACGGTGGTCAATGCTGAGCACCCCTGAGTCCTCTGGTTATCCCCTCAGGACTCATCTCTCAGTCAAGCTACCCTGGGCAGGGGCAACCCCAGAGCTCCTGGATTACTCCCCACCCAACACACTCACCTTCCCCTCGCTCATCATTGGTGTCTTCAGCCACTTCCTCTCTCAAGTCACTATGTGGGGCTGGAATCTGCAGGGAGAAACCCAAGACCAAGACGCCAACAATAAAATTCAAGTTCTTCGAAGACTCAAGACTCTTGGAGAACTGAGAGTTTGTTCCTCGGCATGCAAGTTCCTTTGCAGTTTTGGTGTCTAGGGAGAGATGATGCACTTAACAGTGTATTTATTGCTTGTCCTGTTGTGCAGAGCAATGTCATTAGTCTCAACTGTGGGCTCCCTGACGGCAGGAACGTCCTTGTTTAGCAGAGGGCCAGGCCAGGTTGTGACTTAGCCATCTCCACACTCGGATGAGGTCAATCTCCCTCCTACTGTTTTCTGCAACCTTACGCCACTCTTTAGCTCTATATTCTCAGTTCTGCCTTTAGATAAATGCTAACAGGAGCTGGAGTTCTATATGTCAGCTACTGTCCTGAGCACTTCTGAGCAATTCCAGTTCTCAGAATCCCATAGCATACTGGCAGCTGCTTTCCCACAGCACACTGGCAGCTCTAGGATGCTGTGGAGGTCTGTGTGCTCAGAAATGGCAGGCGTAGCAGGATCTGAAGGGTAGGGAACCCCCCCTAGGAGTTTCATTTATAAAAGTTTTACACTAACAGTATCCACCACTCAGGGCAGTGGTGAGGATGACAGGAAGCCTATAAAGTGCCTGTGCATAGTAGGTGGTGGCCCACAGACCCCTCTTTGGCCTCACTTCTGACCACATTACCTTCACTCATTCATTGCAGTGTGGAACTGTGCCCTGGACATATCAGGTATGCTCCCACCGCAGGGATTTTGCACTGGCTATTCCCTTTGCCTGGAACACACTTCCTCTGATCTCCACCTGGCTTGCTTCTCCTTCACATCCTTCCAATCTTTGCTCAAATTCACCTTCTAATGAGACCTGCCCACACTGTCCTTCTTACTGCTACAAACTGCCCATCACCTCTCACTTTGGTGCCCCTGATAACTCTTACCTTATGTTACCCTTTCTTTTCTCTATAGTACTTGTTACCTTGTAACATCCTATATGACTCTGTATCATATTTCTTGTTTATTATTGATTTCTTTCCCAGGAGAATGCAGGCACCAAGAGAATGGGATCTTTGAATATTCTGCTCACTGATATATCTGTAATGCCTAGAACAATGCTTAGCACACAGTAGGTGTTCAATAAATATTCTGTTGAAGAAATGATCACCCATGTTAGTACCTCTGTAGGGCTCTACGCTGTTGTTTCCATTACCCGCCACTCCATTCCTCACTTTTCCTTCCAGAATGAGCACAGGGTAAATAAGGAAGGAATGAAAGAGAAATCTTTAAAAGGAAAGGAAGGAAGGCAAGAAAGATGGTTAAATGGAGAGAAGACCCTCCTCATGTCTGTAGGCCCAGCAGGTTCCTACCTCGGGGGGCGTGGCCTCGGGATGCTTCTCCAGGGCACAGTGGGTCTCAGCGTCTGGGTCAGGGTCTGAGGCTAGGGCTGGGGGCAGGTGATCCGGGGCAAGGTATGGGGGTGGTTGCTGGGGGCTGGTTGTGAGGGACTCGGGGGCTGGGCTAGGGTCTTGAGGCGGAGGCTCCGTGGCCATGGGGAGCTCGTCCATCCCGAAGATCTGCTCGTAGTGCTTGATAAGGAACTCGACAAGCTGGGCCTGGTGCCCAGAGTCCAGGAGGTAAGTAACAGAGCTGGTGCCAGCTGCCCCAGGACTGTCCGGTGGCCGCAGCAGTGTTGGCCCAAACACAATGCCCAAGTTGTTGGCAGACATCTTGTTTTCCTCAAACTGTGCAGCCACTCTGGGGATGGGGTGAGTAAAAGGGTAAGGGCACAGAGTACACAGTCATTGACCATTGGGTACGACCTGAAGGCCAGCCTAGTGGTGACTTGCCTAAGTCATGGGTCAGTGGTCCTGGTCATTGTTTGAGACCAGCAGCTACATGTCTAGCTATAGGGTTCAGGGGTAGGCACCCAAAGTCAGGAGTCATTATTAAGGTTCAGAGCTCAGAAAATACATGCAAAGTCAGAGATCAGTGTTAGGGAGGGTCAATCCCAGGGGTCAGTAGAGACACATGTCCAGGGAAGGGGTCACAGAACCATGCCTCAAGTCTGAAGTCCTGTTTCTAGGTCAGGGACAGTGCACACCTGAAGAGATGGGCCACCAAGTGCCGCAGAGTGTTGTAGTTAGAGTCAGGCAGCTGCACCAAGAGGGTCTTCAGCAAGCGGATAACCTCAGGGCTGGGGTTGGGGGTCCCAGGGTTGTGCTCAGGGTCTGCATGCAGGAGGGTCTTAGCCAGAGAGATGAAGGCATCGTAGAAGTGGAAGGGGACCACGGGGTCAGTGAGCTGGGGGTGAAATGGCAGGGGGGACATGGGTGTGGGCGGGCTGCAGAGGTTCCTTAGCCTAAGCCCATCCTGCCCCTGCCCACTGAGCACCCACCTCCTGGAGGAATCGCTTGAGGACACATGAGACATCATGAGGTGAGTTTCCCGACAGGTCCACCAACGCTCGGCCGTTCTCGAAAGCTTGGCACAGTCGTTCCACACGGACCCGGGACCCACTGACTCGATAAATGCCCTGCAGGGTAGGGTGGGGAATAGACACCTAGGTTGTAATCCAGCCATAGAGGTCTGGGTCACTGCTGGGATGGTAAAAAATTAAGGGTCAAGATGGCACCTGCACACCCAGGGCGCGCTGTTCTATCTCGGCCGTGCACCTCGTGACTACAAAGGGCACCTCCTCCGGGAAGTCCCTGGGCAGCTGCAGGAAGTCAACCCCAAAAAGGGGTGTCCGGGCTGGGAGCCGCCTGTGTCCACACAGGATCAGCAGAGTCTCGAGGCAGCGCTTGTGGCAGGTCAGAAAGCACTGGGGGGAAGGTCACAGGGTCAGGGAGGTCATTGGGGAAGAGAAGGTTGTAAGGATCCTTAGGGAATAGGAAGCTCATGGGAAATCATCAGATTAGGGTTAGTTGTAGGGGTGAGAAGGTCATAGGAATATCAGGTCATGGAAGTGCTTGGGGTGAGGGAGGTCATTGGGGGTCAGCAGAGGGCATTGAGTCATTGGCCCAGGCCACACCTCCTCGCACTCGGTCCCGCTGACCATGAAGGCCTCACACTCCCGGCACTTGGCTGGACCCCTCAGCCGCCGCAGCCGGTGGGTCTGGGCCGCGCTGGACAGTGTCCACTTCCTGAAGGGGCTGCCTGACCCATTCTCGAGCCCATCTCCCAGGTCTGCTGGAAAATAACATCAGTGGGGCCTGGTTCACCATCTCTCCACCCTGCCCAACCTGCTTCCAGCCTCACCAGGGTCTCGCTCCTCAAAATCATCCGAGGACTCGGTGCCTGTGGACGAGACCTTCACCAGCCGCCTTGTGCCAAGACCTGGAGTCAGAGGGTCACAGAGGTTGGGGGTCACAGGGATCATGGGGAGGCTCCAAGTCTAAGGAGACATTTCTAGCTTTCAGGCCTTTCAGAACCACCCACAGATGCCCTTTGGGGAAAGTGTCAGAGGTCATGAGGGGGTCAGAGTTTGAGGGAATAGGTCAAGGGTATGGGTAGGTCAAAGTATAGGTAAGAGACTGAAGGTCTGAGCCTGGCCAGGGGCTGGAGGCTGATCAGAGGTCAGGAGTGGGTCAGGGCCAGGTCCTGGCCCCACCTGGGCTGGAAGTAGGAGAGTCCAGGGACCGAGACTCGCTGCCTCCGCCCACGCTGTCCACATCGCTGCCTGGAAGGGGGCCCGGCGTCCCTAGGAGGGGACAAGTCAGTTAGGATGATCCCCTGTCCCAGCACTGCTCCTGCCCAACCTTCACCACACTCACCCTGCCAGCCTGTGCCTGTGTCCTCCCAAGGCTCAGCTGCACTCTCATCCAGCCGTGGAGGTGGGGGACCAGAGAGCTTTTTTCTTGTGTCTAGAGGGGAGCTGAGAAGAGAGGTTTGAGGGCTCTGAGAACGAGGACACTGGTCAGGGGTAACATCCCTCAGGCATTGCATCTTGAATCCAACTCCAAGTACTTGAGTCTGCAAGCCCTGATGTGTATGCGCATTGGTGGCCCCCAGTGCAGGAATCCCAAAATCTTGACCCTCTCAGGACTGGGACAACCTCCCCACCTCCAAAAAGAGAGCCTTCGATACTAAGTCCAAGTACTGAGGCTTTGAGTTCTCTGACCCTGAGTTCTAAGCCTCATGATGCCAGCAATTGGCACGGTGTCTATGGGGTTCCTTCTCTACCCGATGGTGATCCTAGGGGCCCACCTGTGCGGGGCAGGCACAAACTCCTGGAAAGAGAAGGCAGGTGGTGGGGGCGGGGGGGCCTCAGGCCGCAGTGCCCTCACGAACTCCTGGTAGCGCTGACCGGGTACGAAGGGTGCACAGCACTCCGCCAGTGCGGCAAAGGCACGGGGACCACGCTCTGCTTGTGCCTCCCGCAGCCTGAACAGTCCCAGGGTCACCTGCCAGGTGGAGACCACACGGGAGAAATGACGGTGGAGGTAGGGAGCTGACCCTTGAAGACATCAGCTTAGTCAGAGTTTGAGGGCGGGGCCTGGCAGTGGGAGGTGGCTTAGTGAGGAGGGCAGTGGCTGGTCAGAGCTGGGCCCAATCACAGGACCCCATGGTAGTTGGGGCACTCAGCTGGGGCCCAAATGAGAAAGAAGGGTGCGGTGGGGGAGAGTGAGGGTGGGGGAGAGTGAGGTCGGGTAGGTGGAGAAGGGTCTCACCCGCCTCATCACTTCGTCCCCCTGCAGCACCAGCTTGCGTATGTGGGACACAATCCGCTGCTTGGCAGCCTCTAAGTCCTGCTGCTTTGCGTTGGCCTCGCGGACGCAGGCCTGGTACAGGGCCTCAGCCTCCTGCGCCTGGAGAAACCAAGGCCCGGCGTATGTGGGAGACAGCGCAGAGCAGGGGGCACCGAAGCACTGGGGTGGGGCTGGCAGCAGGGCTCCCCACCTTGGCCTGGGCCTCCTCACGCGAACGCCGCCGCCGCTCCTGCTGTTTGCTGGGTCCCGGCGAGGCCTGGGGGGTTTGGTCCTCCGGGGATGCCTGGGAGCGCACCCGCAGATCCTCGCTGCGTTGTGCATACTGTAGCTGGGCCCGCCGTAGCGCCTGCACAGCCTCGTTCTGGGGGCAGGGCAGGAGCACTGTCAGGGTGAGCGCCCCTCCTTCTCCTCCCCTAGCTTGCCTTCACCCACTCTGGGCCTCACCATACGCTTCTGCTCTTTCATCCACTGCTCCTTGAACTCCTTCCGCCACTTCTCAATCTCAGTCCGCTTGGCAGCCAGGGGCTGGCAAGGATGGGGAGGGGATGCTGCCTCAGGGCCACCAGGTCCTTCCTTTATTCAAGGCCATGTGCCTTTCATCCTCTGTACCCTCTTCTAGGGGTCTGCATTCTCTCAGGAGTCTTCTCACCCAGACCTGCTCTCCCCTACCCCCATGTCTCCACAGTTTTAGTGGGACACCTCATCCTTTTTGTCTGGATCCAGAGATGCCAAGGCTTTCTTCCGGGGAACACTTAGTACCTCCCTGTGCCCCACCAACAAACAAAAGCAATTTTGCAATCGCACAAGAAGCCTGGTTTGAATCTCTGCTGGGTAGCCTTGGGCAAGTTCCTCAGCATCCATGGGCCTAAGTTTCCTCATCAGCAAAATGGCACTGATGGCAACAGTGCCTTCCTGCTGGGTGGTTGTGACAGAATGATGCAGGGACAGCAGGGCTCCCTCACCTGGTAGTAGTCTCTTTTCTGTTGGGCCACTGTCTCCACAGCCAGGGCTCCTAGGCTGAGGTCATGCTCCAGAAACAGGGTATAGATGTACTGCAGGGGCATGTGGTTCTGGGGGGTGGGGAGTGGGGTGGGTTGGAGGATGCTGAGAATCTAGGAAGGTTGGGCTGGGGCTCTGAAGGGCTTGGGCTCTGGGGGTTCTGGTCATGGTTACCTGCTGGTGGATTGACACCTTGCCAGTCTCAGCGATCTTCATGATGCTTTTGGCAAACTCCAGCTCTAGGGGAGACAGCAGGGGTTTGAGTCGGGTAGGGTGTGGGCACCACCTGGGGTCTGGGGTCTAGGGCTTGGGGCCTGGGGCCAGGTGGAAGGGGCCCTCACCGAGGCTGGCTCTCTTTTCGGTCCAGGACAGTAGCTCCTTGGCATAGCGGCTCCAGGTCTTGGCATACTCCAGGGCTGCATCCACACCCCCCTTGGTTCGAATGAGCCGCAAGTCCAGTTCCTCCCCTGGGGCAGACAGGTGGATCTGTGACCTATGAACCCTGACCTCTCATGGAACCCTGATCTTCCTTGAGCCCCCAGACCAGACCAGTGGTTCTTATTCTGCACCCTAAGGCTTCCCCAAACACTCTTTTGCCATGACTTGTCCAGGTTTCAATTTTACACTAATTCTCAACATGGACTGGGGCTCCCTGAGGACAGGGAATCAGCTCTACTGTGTACTCTGCGGTGTCCCAGGGTACATGGGACAAGCAGTCAGTGATGGCTTGTTGAGGAACTGACTTCTTTCTGCCCCCACCCGCTGGCCTCAAAATCCCCTACCTGTAAGGGGTGCAGGACCCTCCGGGGAGGGGTCATTCAAATGGCTGGTTTCACTGGTCTGAGAGGGAGGAAGACAGTGTTCAGGAGCATGCAGGGCGGGGACCCACTTCCCTAAAGCCCCTCCTCCCAGAGGCCCCCTCCTCCCTGTCCCCTTGGCCCCACTCCTCACCACAGTGGCTGTGGGGGTCTTGTCAGGCTCTGGGTCTTCTGAAAGCACAGGGTCTGCAGCCAGCGTCTCATGGGTCCTGGGAGGTAAGGGTGTCAGGATACCACCCTCCACCCAGGCTGTTCTGCTTAGGGGTGCTGGGGACCCCAGGATAGTTTGGGGGATGATCTTGGATATCACCTCTGTGACATCTCTTGTATCTGGAAATTCTGAGGGATGGGATTTGGGGGGGAAAACCAGGTGAGTTTTTTTATGGGACTGGAGACAGAGTTTGAAGGATTACAGGTAACTTTGGGGTCCATAGAGTGGGATTATAGGGATCTCAAGTGTTGAAAGGGGTCACAAGGATCTGTGAGTGTTCTAGGACTACTTTGGGGATTTCCAGTGGATTTGGGGGGTTGAATTTTGGGATATTCAGGTGTTTTGGAGATCCTGGCAGGATTTGGGGGTGACCCAGGCTTAGACTCACACATTCTCCAGTGAGATCTCAAGGTTGTCCAGGCTCCGGAAGATATCACTGTACCTCTTCCTGCTTTCAGGAGCCGGGGGTAGCCCTGGGGGAGGGGAGGGTCACACATGGGCCAACAGAAGTCTCCCTCCACCCACAGCACCTTGGTTGGTTGTTTGGAGGGTCGGGGAGAGACAGAGACAGAAAGAGGAGAAAGACAGACAGAAAGCTCTGGCTCTTTGGGGAATATGGTATGGTGTGGATGTCTGGGCTGAGCTGGGCTGGAGAGAGCCTGGGCTTGGGTGGGGCTGACTCAGGGCAGGCAGATGACACACACAGCAGAGATACCCACAAATGCACGGGCTCAGAAGCAGTGACAAAACAGATGCCGCAGATGCAGCCACCGCTGTCCCTAGGGGAGAGCTGACTTGACAATGGAACCACATGGACCTCAGGCCAGGCAGATGGAAATACACATGGGGCAGACAGGCACAGAGCTGTGGCAGAAACACACACAGGCAGACTGAAACCACGAGGGACCGAAAGACTGAATGACACTCAACACACACAGCAGAGACACAAAAGACAGCCCCAAACACAAGTCGGACCTTGCCACATTTCTGCCCCCGCCCCCCGCCCCAGGGGCTCCAGATCAGCATTTCCTCTCCCTAGGTTATGGAGGAGCCAGGTGGGGATCCTGCCGCGTCGCCCTCTCCGTCAGCGGTCGTGACACCCTGCCCCCATCACAAATATCAGAAGCAGAAGCGGCCACTTCCCCTTCCTGGGCCCCCTCCCCCAGGCATCCGGGGTGAAGACTCCAAGGGGGAGGGAGGGTCAGGGACCGGTGTCCCCGGCTCCTCTGGGCTTGGGGGTCCCCACAATGGAGGATCCCAGCATCCTCCCCATTCAAAAATTCCTCGCTCTGCTCTATGGACGGAGAGGGACAACTGTGGCCCCTCAAGTTGGGTAAGCCGGGGGAATGCCCCTCTCGGATCCCGTATCCCAGACCGCCTACCCGGCTCTGCTGCGTCCATGGCCCGGACCAGGGATCGCTCGGTGGGGACTGGGACTGGGATGTGATCGCGCAGCGCAGGGGCCCAGCCCAGCCCCAATTTCCTGCCAAGGCTGCCGCTGCCAGGCTTCCGTGTTGCCCCGCCCCGCTGCCGACCACGCCCTCATCCAGTAGAGGCCCCGCCCAGACCACGCCCTCGCCTGTGGGCCACGCCCCGAGGCTCGGAAAGCGCGGACCGCGCCTGCTGCCTAAACGGTGAGCGGCCAAACGCGCTGTAAGGCCAGCGCCTACTGGGCGACCACCCTAAGCTGAAACGCCCCAGACCTGGTCACCTAAGGACTCCATCCCGGCCAGGATTCCTTTCTTAGCACACTTCCCTCGAAGTGACTCCAGAGTCTGCCTGTTCCCGAACCTGAACCTCCCATATGCCCAGTGATGACCCTGCCCAGCCGTCTCTTGGACCCCTGAACCCATTCTGCCCGATCTGAGCCATGGAGCGCCCTGATGGACGCTTGATGTCCTGCCCAATTCCAGCCGAATCTGAAGTCTCCTAACGCTTTGTGGCCAGAGACCCCTGGTCTGGGGGACTCCCAGTGACCCTCAAAGCTAGATCAGGCTCTCAGTCCTGATTATAGTGCAGCCAGAAGCACCCCTAGCCCCTCTGGGAAGGGGGCACAGAGACCCTGCCTTAAGCCCCCAAAGAATTATCCCTGGCAATCCCAATTCCGGAGTGCTCTCCTCCCAGTCACTTCAAGTTTTTCTTAGGGATTTGGCAACCTCCTACGTGACCACAGCAACCCCTCTGCCTGGTAGGGTCTGGGGCCACTACCCCTCTGGAGAACTTGGCCAGCACTTGACGCCCACGTCGAGTGATGCTCAGAGGCTGGTCCCTGCCGCTTTTCAAGGCCTTCCTCGGACTGTAGGCCATGCTTTGCTCCATGGGGAGGCCAGGCAGGTAGGCTGCTGAGGATGGCCAAGGGGCTAGGGCTGGAAAGGGTTGAGATCCCCCACTGAGCATTGGTAGGACAAGGTGCCCAGAAGCCTGGGCCTGGCTCCCCTGGTCTGAGGTTGTCACATGCCAACTTGTCAGTTACCAAAACAAAACAAAAGCACCCACACCTTTCACTTGATGGGATTTCTGGCTGGAAATGTTCCAAGACTTTATAACTTTGCTTCCTTAAGTTTTTGGCTGTTGAAAAGGCAAATCTCTCTGGGCCGGCCGAGTGGTGCATTGGTTAAGAGCTGGCTTGGGACGCCAGCCCTGAGCAGCAGGGCCCTGGTTCAGATCCCACATGAGGGCCAGTGACACTGCCCTCTATAGCTAAGATAGTGGACAATAGCTCGACCCGGAGCTGGGCTGCCGAGTTGCAGTCGACAAGCGTAGGCTGCAGCCCCTGCTGCAATGCGCTGCCATAAGCTACCGTGAGCAACCAGCAGCCTGCGTGAGCTGCCAAGAGCCGCCATCCAGAGGCTGGCGACCGATCCTCATTCGGGAAGAGCACAATGATAATACCAACATGGGCCAGTGAAGCAATGTCCTCAACTAGACTGAAGAACAAAAGGACAGCAACTTGTCTGTTCCCCTCCCCCAATTCCCCAATGAAATCTTAAAAAAAAAAAAAAAGGCAAATCTCCAACTGGCTGTGATTCTCAGCTCTGATGCTGCCTACTCTGACATTCTTGAGTTGCAGTGAGTGCCCTTTGAAAGAAAGGACAGTGTTAGTACAAGGGCCAAGCCAGGCTGCTGGGTCAAAGCCTGGTTGTGACTGAGATGGCACAGCACTGTGTGGCTCAGAACCCCAGGACTCCCAACAAATGTGACCTGAGTCAGTATTTGTAACTTCCTCACATCTAAGACACCACAGGATGGAGGCATGCTGTTACTTTGCATGTTACTGAAAAGGGGAAAATGTCATAGATCCTAAGACTCCCTGCAGTGAGATGTCAAAATATGAAGCTGAGACCACAGAAATATGGAGGTGCTTGTTAAATCAGGAAATATGCAGAGCTCTCTGTACTTGAAGATCAGCCCATTCCAAGTGCTGACTCTGGTGCAGTGTCATTAACCACCTCACACAGCCTTCTGGGAGGGTGCCAGGACCTTCCTCGGTGACCACCCAGCCTCCCAGTGTCCCCTTGTATGGTGCAGACAGAAGTAGAGGCAGGGCTTCTTAAAATTGTGGATGCTTCTTTATTTACCAAAGGTGCTGGCCAGGGGCTGGTTCTGCCAGCCAGGCCCGTGGACAGCCATGGGGGGTGGGAGTGGGGATGTCCCAGCTCAGTCTTGGTGGGCAAGGCTGGGGCAGCCTTGCTGTAAGGGCAGTGTTCCCTCCTGGAGCCCACATGGGGTTCCTGCCTAGTGGCAGCAGGGTAACCAATAGGTGATGGCACTGCCATCTCAGGAAGGCACTTTCAGCTTCGGTGTCCCCAGGAAGAACTGCAGGACGCGGTCGGCCAGGAGTGCCAGGCAGAAGTCGAGGATTAGGACCTGGGCGATGACTAGCTTGAACTGCAGGGCAGGAAGTGGTGGTGAGCTGGGTGCCCACAGATGGGCCCAGTTTGAATCCTGGGGCCACATCTACAGGGCCACTCACCTCCACAGGGATGTCCACGAGGCCAAACTGGCTGTTGAAGTCAGGTGAGGAACCAAGGAGCAGGCCCACAATGGCTAGGAGCGACACGGCCAGGCTCCACACCAGAGGCCTATTCTCAGGCAGGCTCTCCATGAAGGGCGGGCCCTGTGGGGACGACAGATAGATATGGCTGTGTGTTGTGGGGGGCGGGCGGGTGGGCAGGACATGCTTGGGCTGGAGCTCACCTTGTAGTTGATGGCAAAAGTGGCCATCTGCATGGCCATGGCCATGATGTATACAGTGCTGTTGACCAGGCTTGGCTCAAACTCCTTGTACAGATCCACAAATGGCTCCTGTCTGCATGATGTGTGGGGTCAGGACCGTTTTGTTGCTCCTGCTGCCTCTGCACATAGCCAAGGCTCTACCTGGCCTTGGTTGCCTCAGGCTGACATCTATAAGTGCATCCTTCTACCACCTTCCACCTCCTGCCTCCCGCCTCCCACCACAGGGACACTGCCTCCTCTGGGTGCTCCCTGCACCCCTTGCTGGGGCAGCACTTACTTCTCAGGGCTCCGGGCCTGGGCCTCCCGGTACAGGTAGACGAGACTCAGGAAGTGCACGCAGAATTGGAGCAGGACCGTGAGGATGGTGTACAGGTTGAAGATATTGGGCAGGGGCCGCTCTCGGGACAGGGTCTTGAGGGGCTGCAGTGGTGGTGGTGGGGGATGTGTGTGTGAGGAGACAGATGGGTGTTACAGCCCTGAGTGCCATGGGCCACTCACCAACCCTGCCTTCTGAAGGCCGGGTGCAGGGCGGTCACCACATCCTGAGGCCACGGTTTGGCACCAGACCCAGAACCCTGTTTGCCTGTGGACAGTGCTGGGGCCCGTGTTGTGCCACTCGAAAGAGCCTCAGTGAGCACCTGCCCTGCCCCCCGATCCCCATTTGTAATGGGGGGATGACAGCTCCTATCCTGAGAGCTGCTGTGGGAAGAGACACATGGGGGCACCTCTGACAGCTTGCCCTGGCTGGCCCAAGTGTCCCTGGCCACGAATCCACGTAACCTTTCAGCACTTGTGGGGTGAGTGCCATGGCTCAGAGAGGCAGAGGGTGCCCTTGGCTGGGGTGGGAGCCACTGCTTTGCCTGGGGTCCCAGCCCACCTTGGAGCGCGAGATGAAGAGGAAGCAGCCAGCCAGCAACAACCCCTGCAGCGTGGCTTGGAAGTCGCTGAACTTGACGCCTTCCAGGTAGAGGACGCTCTGACTGTAGGCCAGGATGAGGGCATTGAGCGCCAGGATCTTGAACATCTGCAGCGTGGTTACGAGCGTGCAGCGGCCCTGCTTGATCACGTGGCAGACTGTGTGGATAGGAGGAGGGGGGAGGCAGGTGTGGGCATGGGTGCCATGCAGGGTGGGCGGGGGGACACGGTGGGTGGTGGGACTCACTGCACTGAATGGACGACAACTTGGAGGTGAAGGGTGCCGCAATGCTGGCATCCCCCAGCTTCACGATGGGCATGCTCTCATCCTCTAGGTCCCGCAGCACCTGGCTCAGGCGGTCCTGTGGGTGGGCAGCAGGGGGTGAGACCTAGCCACAAGGGGGTGCTGGTGCCCCCTCTCCCAAGACTCACCCTCTGAGAGGTAGGTTGGTCCTCGGGGGGCGAGAGTCCCAGCCTCTGCTTAGCTGCCCTGGAGGTGGCCCTGCCACCACTGTTGCTCAGAAGGGGGCTGTCCCGGGGCCGCCGCCTCCGCTCGACGACCCGCTCAGGGGCATTGGCCAGGAGTGCCACACCTGGAGGACGGGTATATGTTAGGATTCAGGGGAGCCGCTGGCATCAAGCCAGATCAGGGTGCCTGCTCAACTTCAAGATGGTGCCACAGGCCTGAGGCAGACTTCCCCATTTCACTTGACCTCCCCAAAGAGTATCTCAGATAGCACCTATCTTACTTTCTACAAACTACTTAAAAACAAAAACCCATAAAAGCATGTAACACTAACTGGGTCAAAACTATTTCCAAAGAAGTTGATTGTCAAGGATCACAGGAGGTAAATAATACTTGATAAATATTGTAGTCAATAAATAAAGCAAACAATTATGTTCCAACAACACAGATCTGAGGCTGTGAACCACTGGCAAATGCTTCAACTCCAGCTGTGTGTCCCCACTCGTCCCATCTCTCCCTGGTCTCTGTGCCTGCATGGTGCTCAGAGGGCCTGAGCCAACCAAGTTGCATTTGCACCGCGTTTGCCCCACAGAGCCTCCCTGGCTTCCCAAACTCTCCCCAATGCCCAGCCACCTTGTTCCGCGGACATCTGTGTCCCTCCTGACCTTGTAGACCTTTGTATCCCCGATCCTGTTGGCCCTGCCCATCCCCTCACTGCCTCCTCATGCTGGGTGACAAGTCCCTGATGCTGAGCCCAAGTTGGCAGAACAGTGAAGGAAGGAACAGCCCCTGCCCGTGGGGCTCACCCACGTCGGCGTGCTTCAGGGCACCCACGTCATTGGTGCCATCCCCACACATGAGGGTCACGTAGCCCAGCTCCTTCAGGCT